TTGTGCTCATCGTACACAAAATAAAGGAGTCGCTTACGAAGCTTAAAGTTGTGTTCAAGGAAAAAGAAGATGATGCATGCCGACCAACCGGAAAGGAGAAAATCAGAGATGAGAACGAGGACGAGAACCACAACCTTCCATAGGTGAAGTCCCCAAATGGTCTGGTGTTGGATCTTGTGGATTGTGAGGCTGCAAATTAGTGCAATAATGATTAGGATGAAGCCGATCAATTGTAGTGTAGTCCATTTGCTCATTTTTTGTGATTGAACTCATCAGGGAGGTCCTCGAAAGGGTCCTCTTTATCCTCCTCTATCATCGACGACTTGCTAAGTGGTCTAGATTTGGGTGGGCTAGAACGCAGCGGGAATTGGCTAGACCATGGTGGGAGCGGATGAAATCCATTTGGCATCCACAAAGACATCCTTTCGTCATCCCTGCCACCATTGGCAGTCAGCGAATCTATCAACCTAGACCTTGTCTTGGCCCTTAGCAGCTTATTGCCCCCCACACACACACACACACACACACACACACACACACACACACACACGTACACACACTTACAATGATGTAGAATGCATATAAGATTTGATTTACTTTTAAAAATTCTAATCATTTGTAAACGTGCTTATAAATGTGAAATAACAAGAACGAAAGACTGGATGAATGAATGCATAAAGGAATTCAACCAAATGAAAAATTTTGGTGCATATTTACCTTTTTTTGTAAGATTAATATATCTATCTTTATTAACTAATAACATGCATGAGAAACCTTCAAGACTTACTTGGCAGCTTATTTTGCAACATTGGTGAAGATCTTTATTGAGGCTATGTTCGCTTCATGCTCACTCCTAATCTATAAAGTTGACTCATCCTCTCCACTTTCTTCTGTTATCTGTTCATTTAGTATCGTTAATGTTTCATGCCTTACAATTCTCATTAATCGCTTCATGTTCCAAGCTGATATGTTCTTCTGATTGAGCTTATGTAGTTGATCCATGTTAATACCATCCTCCTCCTGCAATTGTTGTCTACCAAACTTTGTCCTCAAGAGATTACCAGAAAGCTTGATACTCTTTCCTATTTGAGAGCACCTCAACCCAGTGGACCCACTGTAGATACCACCACTACCAGAAATCACCCTTCTTGTTCTGGAAGGTATAGCTGCCGCCCAATGGTCATTCAAAATCGTGTCTCCCGCATTTTAAAAATTTTGCACCTTGGCGATCATTCGATCATCCTCTTCCATTTTATGTTGTAATTCAATGAGTGGTGGACCTGAGAGTGTCTGAATAATGTACTGCTTAAAGAAATCTTTCTGAATTTGATCAAAATATATACTACCATGGAAGGAGAAAGTTAGGACATTGAGCATAAAGGTTTTCACGTGGCGTAAGACAGTATCAACAATTAAGCAAAATAATATTCTTGTGATATAGGAAAGTGTCTTGTTCTCCCTATGAACTCTCTTGTCAAAAAGTGATTGCCAGGCAATCAACACTAGGCAAAGCCATATACAATTCTGGACGACATTGTGCTCATCGTACACAAAATAAAGGAGTCGCTTACGAAGCTTAAAGTTGTGTTCAAGGAAAAAGAAGATGATGCATGCCGACCAACCGGAAAGGAGAAAATCAGAGATGAGAACGAGGACGAGAACCACAACCTTCCATAGGTGAAGTCCCCAAATGGTCTGGTGTTGGATCTTGTGGATTGTGAGGCTGCAAATTAGTGCAATAATGATTAGGATGAAGCCGATCAATTGTAGTGTAGTCCATTTGCTCATTTTTTGTGATTGAACTCATCAGGGAGGTCCTCGAAAGGGTCCTCTTTATCCTCCTCTATCATCGACGACTTGCTGAGTAGTCTAGATTTGGGTGGGCTAGAACGCAGCGGGAATTGGCTAGACCATGGTGGGAGCGGATGAAATCCATTTGGCATCCACAAAGACATCCTTTCGTCATCCCTGCCACCATTGGCAGTCAGCGAATCTATCAACCTAGACCTTGTCTTGGCCCTTAGCAGCTTATTGCCCCTTCGGCAAAATAAAGAGTTAGAAGAACATCGTAGGACTTTGGCACCAGCGTCCCTCACGGCAGGGCTCGCGGTGGCCGAACCTCGCCAATGTTCGCACCCCTCGTCATAGGTTTTAGATTCATCCTCCTCCGACTCCGTCTGGGAGAGTGGGGAAGGCGCTTTATTGGAATCATCTTGATAGACAACACGCAACTCCTTCGAATGTCTAACATCCTCCATCGGTTTCTTGAGCCCCTCCATCTCAAGATTCATATCGAGGGCCATCTCTGCACCAGATTTCATTTGTTTCTTCGTAAATAATCTAATCGGCTGAGATGGAGGGTCTTGGTTGATCTACTGAGGGTTTTGGCTCTGAAATGAAAAGCCCGAGTCATCTCCTCCTCTTCCCCCAACTCCGTTTCTACCATTGTTAGGATTCACTTCATTTTGGAACTCTTCACTGGACTCCTTCCACACCTTGCTACCGACAAATTGAATTAGAATTATCGTCTTCATATGGATATCTTGGCTTTTGTCATCGATCTTAAGATGGCCTCCTGATGATGGCAGGAGTTTTCGTGACGATTTTCGTACAAAATTGGTTTTTTGCTCCTCCCGGTCGCTTCAAATCAGTTCCAAGACTATTAAGTTTTGTTGGAGCAGTGAGATTTTTGGAGCGAATCCATGATCCTTCAAATGTATTATCGATTGGGAATACAAGAAAGATTTAGATGGAGAAGAACAGATTCATTCCCTTTTATAAGAAAAGGATAAAGCTGTTTAATTTTCGTTGAAACAACTCCAAAGGTGGACCGCAGAATGAGAACTGAATGTTTCGGACCACTTGGCCATAGGAGGAGGACCACCTGAAGTTGGTGGGGCGCAGAATAAGGAATTTTTATTGCCTCAGGTTACCTGACGTAGAGATACATCAGGTAGCCTATAATATATAGCCACGTGCTCTTACTCTTTACCGTGCGGCCCGACTACCCGACCCGGAACGAATATGCTCGGTATTGCTAGGTACTACTCGGTATTTGTTCGGTATTTGCTCGGTATTGCTCGATATTTGCTCGTTATTGTTCGGTATTTGCTCGGTATTGCTCTCAGCGCAGCGGAAATCCTCGCCCATCTCAACCTCTCATCCTCCGCCTCCCCTTCTAACCTCCAACGCCTCCTCTCCAGCCACAACGTCTTTTCCGAATACCACGATGGCGTCGATCGCCGCTACAGCCTCACCGAGATCGGACGAACCCTAGTCGCCGATGACGATGAGTCCAATGGAGGCGTATCATACGCACCATACGTGCTGCAGCACCACCAGGATGCGCTGGTGCGGGCCTAGCCGTTGCTGCACAAGGCGGTCCTGATACGGACGGGCCGGAACCGTTCTCGCGGGCGAACGGCGGCGTGTCGGCGTTTCATGGTGAGTTACTATAAATACCGAGCAAATACCGTGTAGTACCTAGCAACACCGAGCAAATACCGAGTAGTACATACTATGGAAGCCATACATTTATTGAGAGGTTTGATGGAGAAGTATAGAGAGAAAAAGGAAGATCTTCATAGGATATTTATTGATTTACAGAAATCATATGACAAAGCTCCAAGAGAAATGCTATGGAGAGTTCTAAAATAAAAATGGATTAATAATACTTATATTCAAGTCATTAGAGATATGTATGTTGGAGCTGTTACTTGTGTTCAAACACAAGGTGATTTGACCAAGTATTTTCCAATTTCAGTCAGATTACATCAAGGATCAACCTTAAACCCATATCTTTTTTGCTTTAGTCATGGATGTTCTTACTAGAGATTTGCAAGAGGATGATCCCTGGTATATATTTTTGCTGATGATATTCTTCTTGTTGATAAGACTAAAGATGAAGTTGAAGGTAAACTTGAATTATGGAGGTCAACTTTAGAGTCTAAAGGTTTTTGTTTCAGTAGATCTAAAACCGAATACATGGAGTTGAAGGTAAACTTGAATTATTGGGGTTTGTGACTTTGAGCGATCAAGTCATTAATAATAGTGCACATTTTAGATATCTTGGATCTATTGCTCAGAATTGATATGTATCCCTTACTTCACCATAAATGCTTCTTAGTGAAATGATATTTGGACCACATTAACTAATTTTCAATGCAAGCATTCAGATTTGTAACCACAAAATCTTATTTTTGTTCAAGCACATGAGAGTCTTCATATAATCCCACATAGCATTACTTTAAAATATGTTGTTATAGAAATACAAGTGATGAACCCTCAATCAGAAGCTTAAGCTTTTAGATTGCAAATATATTTGACTATTGATGGATCATGATCATTGATAGGCGTGTTGGAGCAATCTCTTTAGCTTCTCTCTTGTATGTAACTCAAGTAGTCAGGTGATTTTTGACTAAAATCATTGATGCACATAAGAACGTACATTAGGATTATTCATACCAAATAATTAAAATTTATATTGATTCATGAATATAAATAATTGTCCCTTCCTCAAAGGATTAAGCTTTTAGCTTAAAAAATGAGTTTGGTCGCTAATATGTCAGCACAGCTCTGATCCCTTAAGCTGGAACTCCCCAATAATCTTGAGCCAAAAGTAAATAGTATTTCATCGTGTTCTCATTTGCAGCAATTAAAAAAAAAAAAAAGAAAGAACCTGCTTATACAGAAAAGATAAGCCAAAAATGAAATATTTCTTCTACAAAATACTTCACTCTATAAAGCCAATTCCATTTAAACTAAATCTTACAAAAAATTTGGATTACATTGGGCTTTAATTGTGCCATCGTCATATTAATTTATTATTAGTATAAATAAAATGAATATTTTAGCTATAATTCTATTACTTAATATTAATTTAAAGACCAGCGTCACTTACAAGAGATTATAGAGTGAAATATTTCTTTATACAAAATACTTCACTCTATAAAGCCAATTCCATTTAAACTAAATAACCTATAAGAAAAAGTGCACCATAATAAATTTGAAACAAGATTTGCATATTGATACAATTCTCAGAATAATTGCATATCGTGAAATGCTCTAAAGCTTTTATGGTACATAGCAATATCCTTTGGATTGTTAAAAATTGTAACCGGCGTGAAATTATTAGGTGCGTACATCGAACGCCATCCAGAGCCCAATGAAAAAACGCCACATCACCCCAACTCAGTATTGCGGCTCGGTACTGCTCAGTACTGAGCTCGATAATACTCGGTACTGGATGACGTGGCTGAACCTGATATTCCTCTGGACGGTAAGCTGTGTCCGGTATCCGCACAAAATAATCTCTTGTAACCGACGGGCATTTTACTTATGTTGTAATTCTTTCCCGCATAATTGCTATCTTTTCCTCGGCAATAGTTGCTAATGGGTAGTCGAGCGAGCACATTGTTTGGATACGTAAGCTTCAGATTGTCATATCTCAAAAATACTGTTGTCAGAATATTCATCTTCTCCACAATCATCTGAAAGTTCAATTAGAAAAGTTAATTTGGACTTGAAATAAGTTCATCGAAGCGTTCCAAAAGGGGAAAAAAACGAACAACTTCTATATTACCTCCACACCATCCACTTCACAACGATCTCCCACATCGAAGGGATGCATCACAAATAAGAAAATGATGGCTTCAAAAGTCGTTTTTAATGTGTTGCCAAAGATAAACACCAATAATAGAACTTGAGAGCTAAGAAGAAGTAAAAAATGTGTTGTTGCGATGTTCAAAATAAGAAGCCAGAGAGCCATTAGTATTATGAAAACAATGATGTTTGCCATCTGATGAAGTTCGTTCATTGCTGCTTTCGTATCATTTAATGTCAAAGAAAGGGCTTTGCGATCTCTGAACGCATTGACCTGAAACATAAATATCCAATAAGATTCATATATGGTAATTCAAATATTAAATGAGCATGACTTGCTTGACCTATACCACCCAGTTCTTGAGAGTCCTCCTGCTAACTCTATTATAATCCCGTGCTCCATTAAAAAGGGCCATCGTCCTTAGAGCTTCATCTTCCCTCATGAATCGCATTACATCCACCAAGTAGATATGCCTGCAAAATATTGCAATCCTTGTCATAGGTGAATCGACCATCAACTATGAAGGAAGTTAAGCATTGAGAATATGCAAACAAAAGGGAAGATAATCAACCTGCTAAAAAGCTCAAGAAACTTAAAAAAAAAAAAAAACAATAACATCTTTTTTTCTTCTTATTTCTCTTTGTTTTTGGTTCATCCTTCCCTAACAATAACATCTCTACACAATGTGTTTAATTATATTGGGGAAATTGCCTAAAGATCATAGTATTTTAAAACTTTTAGGGGGGTGGGGGGGCAAGACCTTAAGGTGGATCCACCCATGTATGCATATTACCAAGGCAAAATGAGAAAGAAACTTCCTCCAAAAGTTGAAAACAGTAAAAGAGCTCCATTTTAAAATGGGATTCTCTCAAAATTTTAATATTTGATTTTATTTTTTAGACAGAGAAAATTAATTTTTATTGAAAATCTAAAGTCATAAAATAGATCAAGTTACACTTGTTAAGGTAATTGATAAAACTTGATATATATTTATATAATACTTGTGCCTATATATACACAAATATTACATAAATTATGAAAGAAATCTCAAGCAATAGATGATAGTAGGTGCACAAGGAGGGTGCAACAGGGATGGTCCCGAGATTGGGATTTTGAGGTACTATCATATACGGTTAGAGGGACAACATATGACAGTGATTGCAAAATAAGGTATAGCCAAAAAAAAAAAAATGATTTCCTTATTTCCAGGTGACTATAACTTACATTTAGGCCATTTGATAATGATACTTCAATTTGTCTTCTACTATCGAATATGAATAGTTAAAATTGACCAGACAAGATCAAAATATACAATAAGGTCAAGTTTTGTACTTTCTTGACACATTGTTATCTTATAAGAAGGAGGTCACGATGTAAGTTGAGATTATAGCAACACCTAGGATATAAAAAATGACATTCTTCTAAGAATTTGAACCAGGTCATTTACTTCACAATCATAGCTGCTCCTACATTCCAAAGGTTTTGATCATCAACATTTGCATGTATGTCTCTCTCTCTCCATGTGTACACACACACACATACAACGATGTAGAATGCATATAAGATTTGATTTGCTTTTAAAAATGTAATCATTTGTAAACGTGCTTATAAATGTGAAATAATAAGAACGAAAGACGGATGAATGAATACATAAAGGAATTCAACCGAATGAAAAATTTTGGTGACATATTAACCTTTTTTGTAAGATTAATATATCTATCATTATTAACTAATAACATGCATAAGAAACCTTCAAGACTTACTTGGCACCTTGTTTTGCAACATTGTTGAAGATCTTTTTTGCGGCTATGTTCGCTTCATGCTCACTCCTAATCTGCAAAGTTGACTCGTCCTCTCCACTTTCTCGTGTTATCTGTTCATCTATTATCGTTAATGTTCCATGCCTTACAATTCTCATTAGTCGCTTCATATTCCAAGCTGATATGGTCTTCTGGTTGAGCTTGTGTAGTTGGTCCATGGTAATACCATCCTCATGCTGCAATTGTTTTCTACCAAACTTTGTCCTCAAGAGATCACCAGAAAGCTTGATACTCTTTCCTATCTGAGAACACCTCAACCCAGTGGACCCACTATAGATACCACTACTGCCAGAAATCACCCTTCTGGTTTTGGAAGGTATAGCTGCCGCCCAATGGTCATTAGGAATCGTGGCTCCCACATTTTGAAAATTTTGCACCTCTGCGATCATTCGATCATCCTCTTCCATTTTGTGTTGTATTTCAATGAGTGGTGGACCTGTGAGTGTCTGAATAACATACTGCTTGAAGAAAGCTTCCTGAATTCGATCAAAGTATGTACTAACGTGGAAGGAGAAAGCTAGGACTTTAAGCGTAAGGGTCTTCATGAGGCGCAAGACAATGGCGACAATTAAGCAAAATAGTATTCTTGTGATATAGGAAAGTGCCTTGTTCTCCCTCAGAATCTTCTTGTCAAAAAGTGATTGCCAAACAATCAACACTAGGCCAAGCCATATACAATTATGGACGGCATTGCGCACACTGTACACAAAATAAAGCAGTCGCTTATAAAGTTTAAAGTTGCGTTCAAGGAACAAGTTGATAATGCGTGTCAACCAACAAGAAAGGAGAAAACCATATTTGAGGACGAGGACGAGAACCAACAACTTCCATAGGTGAAGTCCCCAAATGGTCTGGTGCTGGATTCTGTAGATGGTGAGACTGCCAATTAGTGCAACAATGAGTAGGATAAAGCCGATCAATTGTAGTATAGTCCATTTACACATTTTTGTGTGATTGAACTCATCAGGGAGTTCCTCGAAAGGGTCCTCTATCATCAACGATTTGCTGAGAGGTCTAGATTTGGGTGGGCTAGAACGCAGCGGGAATTGGCTAGACCACGATGGGAGCTGATCAAATCTATTTGGCATCCACAACGACTTCCTTTCGTCATCCCCGCCACCATTGGTAGTCAGCGAATCTATCTTTCTAGACCTTGTCTTGTCCCTTAGCAGCATATTGCTCTTTCGGCAAAATAACGAGTTAGAAGAACATTTCAGAACTTTGGCACTAGCGTCCCTCACGGCAGGCCTCGCGGTGGCCGAACCTCGCCAAAGTTCGCGCCCCTCGTCATAGGTGTCAGAGTCGTACTCCTCCGACTCCGACAGGGAGAGTGGGGAAGGTGCTTTATCAGAGTCGTACTCCTCCGACTCCGACAGGGAGAGTGGGGAAGGTGCTTTATCGGAATCATCTTGATAGGCAATACGTAACTCCTTCGACTGTCTGACATCCTCCATCGGTTTCTTGAGCCCCTCCATCTCAAGATTCATATCGAGGGTCATCTCGGCACCAGATTTCTTTTGTTTCTTCATAAACAGTCTAATTGGCCGAGATGGAGGGTCTTGGTTGATCTCCTGGGGGCTCTGGCTCTGGAAAGAAAAGTCCGAGTCCTCTCCTCCACTTCCCCAAACATCGTTCCTACCATTGTTAGGATTCACTTCCTTTTGGAATTCATTACTGGACTCCTTCCACACCTTGCTACCGACGACCGGGATAAGAATTCTCGTCTTCATATGGATATCTTGGCTTCCATCGTCGATCTTAATGTTGGCCTCCTGATGATGGCCGGAGTTTTCGTGACGGTTTCCGTAGAGAATTGGTCGTTGGTCCTTCCGGTCGCCTTCGAATGAGTTCCAGGACAATAACTTCTTGTTGGAGCAATGGGATTTATGAAGCGAATCCACGATCCTTCAAATATATTATCTATTGGAAACAGGAGAAAGATTTAGATGGAGAAGAACAGATTCATATCCTTTTATAAGAAAAGGATAAAGCTGTTTAATTTTCGTTGAAACAGACCGCAGAATGAGAACCGAATGTTTCGAGCCAAGTGGCCGTAGAATGAGGACCACCCGAAGTTGGTGAGGCGCAGAATAAGGGAGCCGAACGTTTCGGACCACATAAGAGGACCAGCCGTCCGCGTTTGCTGGGAGCTCCACATGTGGCAAATTGAAGAGAACCGCTATATTAAACAAAACAATTATTTTATTGGAAAATATTTGTTTAAGACTTTTATTAAAATCTTAATTTAATGATCAAACAATAATGACAGGTGATTAAGTGCCAAAGTAAAGATATCGTATTTATTTTGACGTAAACATGTTGCAAAAATAATTAAATGTATATTTAATCATGCCTTTAACATTTGATTGGTCTTAAAACATTTCTAGTAACTGATAATTAACTAATTAATTTCTAATAAATTTCAAATTCTTTAACTCGACAATCATTTTTAATAAAAAAAAAACACACACTCAAAATAACAAATATGTTCTTGATTTTTAGTATTAATTCAACCATTTTCTAATCTGTCTAACTGCCCACAACGCATGCTAATTCTTTACGAGAAAAAAAAAAAAAAAAAAAACAACGGTTAGGCTCAGCTCGATTTATTTGTAGCTCTAATTTTAAAATTAAAAAGCGATTAGGTCAATATATGATATTAAAATTCTTACAATTATTTTCTAATCAATATAATATAAATTTTAATTTATTTGATGTATATTGTAGTCATCTTAAAATATATTTATAACTGAGATCCAATGTAATGGAAACTCAAACTCAAATTATTATTTTTAATTAAAAGTTAATTAATCAATTCGATTTTTTATTTTACCCTCAGTCAACTTCTCATATTACGGTTAGGGCTTAATGTTAGCATCGCGCTCGCCGTCACCCGCTGCCACGCTCTCTGCTGCTCAGGTCGGGTCGGATCAACTCGACAACCCGCCAGGTCGGGTCTGGGTTCAAATTTCCGACCCGTTTACCTACCAGGGTCGGGTCCGGGTTCAAATTTCTGACCCGTTTGAACCCGGATTAGTTTCGGATTCGACCCGAACCCAACCCTTGACGCGAAATTGACACCTACATAATTATCAGATGATCTTTAAAACATGATAAATACAACAAACCGGCGATGTAAATTTTGACAAATATACCTTGACGACTTCAGGAGACCAAAGAGGTGGACTTCCAGTTGGTCAAGATGGACAGCTTCAGGGGACCAAAGAGGCTTCCAGAGCCCTCAAAATGCAGGTTAATTTGACAAATATATATAAAAAAAAATAAATTCAATGATTTTTAAATAAGTATTATTATATAAATAATTTATATTATATCATCTTAAAATAAATTCAATGGCTTCAAAATTTAAGCTTACCAAAAATTTTGATTACATTATAAACGAAATTAATATTTTAGCTATACTTCAATTACTCAATATTAATTTAATATTTTTATATAAAATAAATTAATATGAATAAAAAACTCTTATATATAAGATTAATTAATGATGCATATAATATTCTTAATTATGAATATAAATTCAAAAAAACTAAAATTTTAGGTAGAATTATCTGTCATAAATTTTTTCGATCTTATTGACTTCAGCTTAGGGGCGAAGCACTTTTCTATCAGGACCACAAAATTGCACTTGCTGATGAGAAACCCTGAGGATATCTAAATACCAAATATAATAGAACATAACATGTAACTCATTTTGATATGTTGATAGAGACTTTAGGCTACTAATCAAGAGGTCTGAATTTGAGTATTATGTTTGTGATATATGTATAAATGTCTTAATTGATCTAAATGTCTCAAAAAAATATAGAACATAGCACTGATCCTTATAAATAATAAACAGTACATTGAATTACCGCATTAAAGTTGTATTATATTTGGGTGATAATTAACAACTGCTGCTTAAAATTCTTGCATACTAAATCTATATAATTAATACGTATTTACATCTATAATTTTTAATTTTTTTTAATTTTAGGATATAACATTTATTTTATTTAAATAATTTAATAATAATATTATTATTTTGATATCATACAAAGATTAAAATAATATAGAAATAAATATTAGATGCAGAAATGCATAGTAATTCAATGATATATGTCAAAGTTCTCTCTGTCTACCTAATTATGCCCATATATTCACTTGAATAAATTCTTAATCACGCACAACCGAATCACGGGCAAACTGCTGCGACATCATCGACAAGTTCAAGAATCAGGAGATCAAAGAACAAATATCTTTCTTGTAGGAGAAGAACGTTTATTACATCCAGTGAACGTACGCTCCTCTATGTTCGATTTTAGACCAAAACAGCGCAATACCGAGTTTTTTTAAAAAACTCGGTACAACTCGATACTCGGTATTGCGCCTTTTTTGCCTAGATCCGAACGTAGAGGAGCGTACGTTCACTGGATAAAATAAAAGTTCGTAGGAGAAGGCGCTCTCAAAAGGATTTATTATTTTATGTGGAATTCGGAGAGGGTCCAGAGATCAATTAAAATATGTCAAATTACCTCATTGCTTGGCACTCGCACTCAGTACTCTTCGGTATTGCTGGATACCTAGCGCTTAACTGGATGATTCTCCAATCTGATGTCCGCACAGAATAATAGCTCAACATTCATCAAGCAGTGGCTTGAAATAGAGTCACCAGTTTGATCTACCGAGCTCCGAACTTGTCTTCTTCCTCGCCGTTGCCCCGAGCTTACCCGAACCCGAGCTCCCTTCAACTTTGGCTATCGAAGAGAGCAAGACTTTCTTACTATTTTTTAAAGAAAAGTTTTAATATAAAAGGTTCTTAAACTCAAAATTTTTTTATTAAAAAACTGATATAAATTTAATAAGAAAACTGTTTAAAATTATGCCTTTATTATTATTTATTTGAGATAACTTTTTAACTGCTTTGCTTTCAAATAATAATTACATTTTTTTTCACAACTTCTTTAATTGTTTTTCAAATATTTCTAAGATAAAAAATTACTTTATACAATCATAATAATGAACTTATTTTCCTCTACTAACTTTATAATTAATTTTATACCAAATAGACCCTTATCCATCTCTGTAACTTTTGTATGAGTTCAATATGGTCAGGAACATATATGTCATTTCCATTGAATATTTGAATGCTTGGATGCCTTCAGAGTTGTCAACAATATTGTCTTTCAGGATTCATTTCTACTGATTCTGTCCTTATTTTCTTATATTCTTATAGATAATCTCAAATGTTTCTCATCCTTTCTGCTAAACGCAAGCAAATTATTTTCTTCAGAGTTCAAACTAAAAAGCTGATTAAATCGATATACTTTAAATTAGAGGAAACAGTAGTGATTCAGATGAAACAATTTGAGCATATGCATACAGATACAGAGATGATATAATTTTATGACCTACGAGAGAGATTTTCACCATACGAATAATAAAAAGATAAAAGAGCTATTAGAATTCTAAAAAATCTCTTAGTAAGAGGATCTTAGTATAAGAATTTCTTAGAATTATCTCGAAGAAAGTAAAATATAGAGCTTTTTCTTCAGTGTTAATTCTGTTCAAGGATGCTAAGCTTTTTTTATGATTTCTAAAGAGGAGACTAATGCATTCACAACATTGCATTTCATGAACATGGAGCTTCATGGAGAAGAACCAAGTATATAGCATTTCTTCTCTTTGCTATCTAGATTCACTCAACCGCATTAACATAATAAACAGAAAATAGATGAAAAATACTGCCATACTTCTTAACAAAAGGAAATCTATAAATTATCTTAGGATTTATTTGTGACAGTTTTTTTTATTATTTTCTAAAAAAAAAATTATATTAAAAACTGCTGCAGTAGGAAAATTGTTCTAAACAAAGCCTTAACAACATATTTTTTTAAAAGTTCATCTGATTTAACAACAAAGAAGAGTCAATGTAATAATGTTAAAGCAGACCTTAAACCTTTACCGCAGGTAGTGGGAAAGCTGTGCTGCAACTTTGCCTAGCCCATGGCTGCATATTAATTATATCACTTAAAGTCTACAGTAGAAGAAAAAATAATAACGGAATTGATTCACACAATCCAAAATATGAAAAGCAGCAAGATTGCTAAAAGCAACTCAAGTAATATGCCGGTAACGAGTATTTGAGAGGCGCGCAGATGCGAAAAAAAATGTAAGCTTCATAATAATTGTGAAATGATTTGTAGCTCTGTCCAAGCACAGCATATCTAACAGGAAGCAAGTATAGTGCGGGTTTAAAGCTGTTTATGGTATTGCTTCATCAAACATATATTAACTTAAACAAAATAGATCAACAAGAATTTCAAGAAGGTGAGACCTATTGAATTATAGGTGTTATTAACATTTTTTAAAGAATGTAACTGATTGCTAACTACAGAGCTCCTTCAAAGATGATTAGGGCTTGTTTATACGCGCTTATTGTTTGTTTTACAATAATATAAGGATCCTTATAGCAATGAATAATATTTAGGTGAAAAGTTTTAAGAATTGGAATGCCATAAAAATTGCTTTAATGTAATGGAGCATGAATCTAGATGCATCTTTAAATTGAAAACTTTCGAAAGTAAATTCAGGACCATTGGAACTCTAATTTCGGCAAATTTATGGTCAAATTGAATTTCTCGACGAGTCGAACCCAATGATATAAAAAATGATCCAATCCAAGTCTGAATGAGTCAAAATCAAGCACTTGAAGGGTAATTCAAAACTTCAAAATATAAATTGAATGACCAAATGATCTACGGCAACTTTCTCTAATCTTCTCTTCCACTGGAGCTACTCCAACCTTTTCATGTATATGCTCATTTTGTATCCTGTCTCTAAGAGTAGAGCCACTCGTCCACCTCAGTATCCTCATATATGCAACACTTAACTTAATATTATACTTCTCTTTTAATGACCAACATTCTACATCATAAAGCATTGCGAGTATAACCACCATCTTATAGAATTTTCCCTTAAGTTTGAGTGGGACTTTTCTATCACACAACAAGCCCGATGCATTTCTCCACTTCAACCATCCAACTTGAATTCTACAAATAATATCCCTATCTATTTCACCATCACTCTGAACAATAGACCCAATATATCTAAAACAATATTTTAATAAAGCTAATTAAAAAAAATAAAAAAAAGTCATCAACAGAAAAAAAAAATTATTTGAACTTTGAAAAAATTCAAAACAACCTTTCCATGCGATCATATATATTAAAATTATTATATCATGCCTCAAACATAAATTATAAGGTTATCTAGATAATAATCTTGAAAAGCACATCAAACATTAGATCAAGTTTATGCAAATTCTAAAAAGAGGAAAGCATGTCTTCTCAATCTGACGCGAGGTTATCCACCCAGGGTTATCTTATAATCTTGTGAGGCCAACCTTGAGTGAACGACGACTTAAAATTACCTTATAATATTTTGAGGCCAACCTTTGAGTGAAGGATGATTTATTTTAGAGTTTACTTATTTACAATCCTAGGCTTATGCAATGGATAAATTGGTTTCTGCCTATGTTGCACCGATACCGATACGACGACACGGATACGACACGATACAGATACGGTACACATCAATTCTTAAAAATACATGATACGTATACGTCGCGGATACATCATTATAATATATAAATCATACATGAAAATTTAGAAAGTAATCAAAGCGTAATATTTGAAATGAGAAAAAAATTTGAAAGCAACATTATCTATAGAAATGTATCTAATAATATCAAAATAAAAGTAAGCATTAAATATTTAAATGTCTAGTAAAAAAAAAACAAAAATTGTCCAGCAGATGAAGTTTCAACTATTCAAAAGAAGGAATGATATGATTAACTTCTTCAGTGGTTTGTCTTTGAATTTCTATATCATCTTCAATAAATATCATAGCTTCCAATTTAGGCTCATCAAGTGAAAGATTAGCAAATTCTAATATTCTCATATCCTCAAGAGATTCAAATCCATCTTCAACAACATCCCACATTCTGTTGTCTCCTTCCATATAAGTTAGATTTTTCCTTGAGAGAAGCCGAAAGTTTGTATGCATATAAACTAAATCTTCAGTCCATTCTGAAGTAATTTTATTTCTCATCATTGATTGGATGAAGGAGTATGTGCACCAATTTCTTTCACAACAAGATGAGGATGAAACTTAGCCAAGCAATTTCGTGGCGATTGTTTTAAGTAGAGGTGCTGAAGCTCCATGTATAATCCACCACATTTTCAGATCAATTCTCCACCTATCATGCAATGACTCTTGGTCACCAAAGTCTTCTAAATAACAAAAAAATTTAGCAAGCTCAATATTAATACTTCTTCTCTCCTCTTCATTTGGAAAATAACGCTTTAAACATGTCTTCATCATATTTGAAATTTCTAAATCTTTTTGTGGAGAAACTCTTTAAGGATCCTCTTGATGTCATTCTTTAGTTGAATATCTTCAAATAACATTAAAAGCAAATAATGAAAAAATGTTGAAATTACTAAACAACAAATTGTGAATTAATAATGAAAAAAATGTTGAAATTTACTTGGGATTTAGTGAGTGAGTCAAGCAATATAAAGACGTATTACTTTTGCTCTACCTATCTTCTAGAATAACATAAATAACATCTCAAAAGCTTGAGTTTTCATGAAGTACCTTCCTCTCAAGTCTATATATAATTTCTTTTACTTTGACTAGCATTGAATCTCACATCTCATAAATGAGATGTAAACAAGACTTATTCGTACCAGCTACTCTCAACATCGCATAAATTGGATCTGTGAAATTTAAGATGTAATTAATCTCATCCCACCATAACTCATCTAAAAGCTTATCCTTTACATACCTAGCCTTTCCAACATCTTCTTCCCTACAAAAGGACCATTTGTTACTGATCACCATAGCTTAAAGTGATTTTTTTTTTTTGAATCTTCTCAACATAACTATAACTGAGGCAAACCAAATTTTAGCAACTGCAAGCATCTTCAAATTAGAAAAATCATTGAACATAGAGTCTCATGGAGTGATTCATAATAAAATTTCTAATTACAACACCATCTCTAGCCATCACTGTGATCCAATGGCATTCATTGTAGGTGATTTTGTTTACCTCGGTATTCTTAGCTGCACAAATGTTCTTCAAGGCAAGATTAAGCATATGCATAACACATGGTGTCCATAAAATATAAGGATAGGATTGTTCTACAAGTAGACCTACAGCTCTACAAACAGGTGCATTATCAATAATGACCTGGATGATGTTTGAAGGGCCCACCATCATGATAACTTCTTTGATTTTTAGAAATGAAAAACTTACCCTTGTACTGTCCTTCACAGTTTACAGCTTTGATAAACATAGGATAACTCTCTGTGACAGCCATGAAGTTGATAAGTGATCTTCTTTATAGATCTGTCTACCCATCACAAACCAAATTAACTCATTTTTCCTTCCAAACTCCTCTAGTAGGCTCAAGCAATTTCTCAATATTATCCCTCTCTTTGCAACAACTTCGTTTTAATGACATTATATCATGGTGGCATGTATCCTGCAAGATTATTATTGCATGCGGAGGTAAATGTATTCTTGTAATATGGATTCCTTGCTAGGTTAAAAGAAAGTCCACCTGAGTAAAACATTCTAACTATTTCTCCATCTAGTTGTTCTCTCATTTGTAAATTAAATGCTTTCTCCAAAGCACTATCTATAATATTTTTTTTTTTATTCATATCCCTCCATCAGGAAAGGCCATTTGTTTACAGTACTGTCATCACTTCTAATTGAAGAAGATGATGAAGTATATGAAGCATGGGTGCTTGGAAATATAATATGTTTTGGAAACTCCTTTTAACTCATTTGCTCAGCTTCACTAATTTTTCTTTGTAATTCAGTCATTTGTGTTGAGCTTATCTTCAGGCATACTTTAATTCCATGACCATTAATCTTCAACAAATGAGCTTTCACTTTATAACATTATCCTTTGTATGTGGCATTACAGTAATTGCATTTGAATGCAATATTGCGACCCCCTTCTGATGTTTTATCTATTTTTGATACATACCCCACAGAAGTTTGTTATCTTCAATATTGGTCTTTGATGGACCATCATCAGACCCAATTCCTACGCCACTAAAGTTCATTATCCTACGAAAGATCGACACAAATTAAACCACATGAATTTAAAACATGAAAATTTTTAAGTAAAAGTGTAGATATGTCGCAGATATGCCGATCGTCTAATGGGGTGCTGCCCCTTGGCAGGGTTCGACCTGCCTGCTTGTAAGAGTTGTTTTAAAGCTTTCTCTAGCTTCTCAGTGCCTCTTGAATCCATTTAGTACCCCTCGGTACCGAGCGGTACCGAGCATTGATACTGAGCATGGTAACGAGCATTGCGAAGACGTACCGAGCGGTACCGAGTTCTGGTATCGAGCGGTACCGAGCAATACTGAGCGGTACCGAGTAGTACTGAGCGGTACCAATCATACGATGAAGAAAACGAACCTTCACTACTCGCGTTGCCTTCAATGTTCGCGTCATCGAGCCGCTCCGTCGACGAAGGATGATCCTATTGGCTTTAATGCTCATGTCGTCGAGCCTCTTCGTCGACGAAGGATGATCCTGTTGGCTTTAATGCTTGCGTTGTCGAGCCGCTTCTTCGACGAAGGATGATCCTATTGGCTTTAATGCTCGCGTCGTCGAAACTCTTCGTCGACGAAGGATGATCTTGTCTGCTTTAATGCTCGCGTGGTCGAACTGCTCCTTCGACTATAACAAAGAAGACGAATGCCTGTGCGGAAACGAAAAAGCTAGCTCGCCGAAATGTTTAAGCCTCATAAATGAATAGGGATATCGAGCGAATAGCCGAAACGAATAGGGCAAATTGCTGCTCCCAATCATACGATGAAGAAAACGAACCTTCACTACTCGCGTTGCCTTCAATGTTCGCGTCATCGAGCCGCTCCGTCGACGAAGGATGATCCTATTGGCTTTAATGCTCATGTCGTCGAGCCTCTTCGTCGACGAAGGATGATCCTGTTGGCTTTAATGCTTGCGTCGTCGAGCCTCTTCATCGACGAAGGATGATCCTGTCTGCTTCAATGCTCGCGTGGTTGAACCGCTCCTTCGACTATAACAAAGAAGACGAACGCCTGTGCGGAAACGAAAAAGCTATCTCGCCGAAATGTTTAAGCCTCATAAATGAATAGGGATATCGAGCAATAGCCGAAACGAATAGGGCAAATTGCTGCTCCGTTTTTTTTTTTCGTTTTTTTTAATAGGATACGCGTATCTGATACGTGTATTCAATCAAATTTAAATAATATTTTAATTGGACATGGCAAAACCGTATCCGACACGTATCCGTGCCGTATCGGAGGCGTATTCGTATCCAACACGTCTGATACAACATGCCTCGTAAATAGGAGAATCTGTGTTACTTAGGTTACTGCCAATGTAAGCTTTGGGCTTATTTTAATTTGCGTGGTTAATTATTTGACTTTACCTGCTTATTAGTTTGGTTAATTTTACAACATTTAGCTAGAAAGAAATGCCATCCTTTAAGGCTATAGCACATAAGATAATGAATCATATTTCCTTCAAGATATTTAGATTGAAAATCAAAAGCAGTTGGCCCCTTGAAATTCTCTCTTACGGAGAGGAAAAAAAAAAAGAAATTCATGCAAGTTGATTGTTGTATTTTTTCTTATGACTGGCGGTCGTTTATATTTTTGCTGTGGTTATCGTTGTGCAATTTGGTTGTCTTTTGATCTTGTTCGCTCTTTAAGGTTACCTTTTGGAAATCAAACTTTTGGAAGCGTTGGTGCAATATTTTGCTGAAATTAGTGTCATTTTCATGTTTTCAGTCTCTGTTGCCTTCTACTTTATTCTCTTGCAGGCTTAATTTTTCCCATCGCCAGTGTGGTGTCCTCCTGAAGGATTTGATAAGGTCTTTAGTCCATGCATTATTGGCAATTGGAAAGAGGAATGACTAACTTTTTCTATAATTTTGCAGGTATCTTCTTTAATCATTCGATTTTGGTGACGATTGTGCGAGATGATGAAAAAGCGTTCATTTTTTGTGACAATTAGGCTCTGCAACTCTCAAATGATAGCATGAATCATGATAATATTAACTCCACTTCAAGGGCTTACTCCAAATAAGAATCCAACAACAGTAGTTAAACAAAATACATTCTATCTAGTTTCACTCAAATCAACATGAACATAATAAGCAAATAGTAAATGAAAAATGCTGCCATACTTCTCAACAAAAGGAAACCTATAAATTATCTGAATAATAGGTTCATCTGATGTAACAATGTAGATTTATCAATGCAATAATAATAAAGCAGAGGCTACAGTGATTAAAAATTGTTCTCACCTTTATGCTTTACCTTCATTTTTTTTTCTGAGAATCTTCAGATGCTTGTTGCAATTATGCTTCTATTAAGGTTAGCATGCCTTTATTGGAAAAGGAAATGCGATTTTCAGAAAGCAGAGATGTAGACCAAAGATCTACATAATAGTATAGCCTGGACCACCACCTCCTTCGGGCAGCGTCCACTCAATATTCTGTTTTGGATCTTTAATATCACAAGCCTACAAAAACCAGAGAAATGACAAAGGAAATGATCTTCAACCTTATTCCAATAATGCTTCTGAACTGAAACACTAATTCTTTATTTCTACCAAACCATATCATCAACAATGGAAAGCTTCTAGATTGCAAATTCGTGATGCTTGCTTCATTTGGGTGGAACATAATCAATGCAATAGTAATGCAAAAATGTTAAAGTTCAAATATAATTTTTTCTAACGTGTGGATTATCTCTGCTAGGGTTTTTCCCCCTCTTCTCTATGTTGAGTCCACGGCTAAACTGATCATCTCTGCAAAGGGTTCCCTCGCCTGAGCTATCCTGAGGGTTACCCCAATACTGTCTCACCCCCCATACTGTCTCAGTCAGTTCTTTCCCATCCCCATCATGGATAGATCTCCTCTTCTTTCCCTCACTAGCATCTACATTCTCTATCCTTGGCCCTAATCCATCTATTGTAATAACTCAAATATGTGAAATAAATTATTTTGAAAAACATGAAAATTCTGAAGTAGAGCATTTTGGTGCTGATGTGGTGAGCATTGCAACGCTAGGCCACGAAATATATATATATATATATATATAATTGCCTCACTCCACTGACTCCCACACTTGATTGCTTGGCCAGAAAGAAATTGAAAGAGGGAAAGAAGAGGGAGGAGAAAGAAAGGTCTTTGGATCATATTTGTCAATCATTCATGTTACATATTTTGTTCTATTCATTGTAAGTAATTATATTCTTGCTTCCATTTTCGTTGATTTTGATTTCTACCGGTATACCTCTCCCAAATATGTCAAAAATGCATTATATCATGATTTTATAAGCTTTCACCGTATAATTTTTAATATGTTATATATTTGATCATTATGAATAATATGATATGATTTTATTGCAATTTTACCAATTAAATATGTGTATATAAATTTCTGAGTAAAATGAGTAAGGAAAAAGACAGGCTAGAAATGGGTTGAAAAGCGATATACTTTCCGCTAGTCACATAAAATTGGTAAGCTCTAGTTAAATGCTAAAATGAAAGACAAATGCAATTCTTTCAATTTATATCTCAGTGATTGACATCTATAATGTCCTATAAGCTGATGAGGAAGTCAGTTTCTAAATGTGATGTCGCACAAAGGGCTTAAGACTATAATCTAGCTCTTGTTGGGCATGTCGTTTGTCATCGACCATTTTACATTAATCTCCTCCAAAACTTTTTACACACACCCTAGTGACCAAATATTCATCAAATAATAAAATCAAAATATTTTCAAATCATGTACATGCATCACAAGATAACTTTCAAACTGAATCACATCTCAAAGAGTGCATGTGCACTACGCAAATGCACTAAAAAAGCATGTGAATAAATCAAGAGATACATCAAATTTCCTGAAGTAAAAACGTCCGCATGTGCTCTGATTAATGTATTGAATGATCAAATTTAAAGTCAGAGAATAATGCAAGGGCTAAAAGCTAAAAGTTATATAAATTTATGCTTCTCTCAGATTATACAATTCCTAAAAAATAAGTGATTATCTGTTAAAATTCATAGACTCTCTTTTAAGTGTAAACTCAAGCTCTAATTTTAAAAGATGCTATTGAGCAAGCTTCATTATCCATAGGGTATATCATAAGTCCAACTTTAAAGTCTAATCATCCAACGAACAATGATTGAAGTTGGCGAGATTAAAGGGCCTATTATGGGTGTGGTTATTGCACAACATAATCAGAGGGAACCATTTTCAAAATTAAGCTTTCAAAGCTCAAATACAAACAATGCAAACGATCATTCCCAGATGATGGCAGCACTGATAGAAAATCTCAACAAGCGAGAGATTATCATGAAAATGCTCCCAAATTCCAAAATAAATTATTATGGAGCCCAAATTCTTATCAAATATAATATATATATATATATATATATATATATATCAAAATGCTCAAGCAAAATGTATGATCCAAAGTTCAAAGCAAAAATTCATCCACCTTTTATAATAATTTGTCAAGGGTGAAAAATTTGGGATAACCTCAGCTCATAAAGAATTAATGTTAAATCAAATGTATCACTATGATGATCTTCAAAACATCTCGCACTAGTAAAGACATAACACATCTCATGTGACTAGGTGATTTTTCTACCAAATAGCACACTAATAGCAAAAAGCCTTTATCCCACTACATGCGGTCGACTATACAAATCTTTTTTCTCCATTATGTCCTATTATGAGTCAATTTCTCATTTAAATCTAATAAAAATTATCATTTTAATATTTTCTAACCAAGTCTTTGTAGGTCTACCTCTATCTTTCTTAGCATAGACAGAATCTAATACATCTACTCTCCTAACCGGGTCATCTAGACGGTCGATGCTTTATGTGACTAAACCATCTAAGATGACTCTCTAATCTTATCTTCCACTGGAGCTACTCTAATCTTTTCACATATATAATCATTTCACATTATATCTCCAAGTGTAAAACCACTCATCCACCTAAGCATCCTCATCTCTACAACACTTAATTTTATACTTATCTTTTAATAGACAACATTCCGAGCTATAAAGCCTAGCAAGTCTTTCCACCATCTTATAAATATTTTTTCTTCCCATAGATTAGAGTACTTTTCTATCACACAACAGACCAAACGCATTCCTCCACTTCAACCATGCAACTTAAATTATACTAATAATATCCTCATCTATTTCACCATCGCTTTGAAATATACACCTGAGATATAAAAAATGTGCACTCTGTCTAATGACTTGATCATCGATCTCACCACTAGATTTATCACTACTAAAATTGCAGTCTTTGTATTCGATTTTAAATCTACTCAAACGAAAATCTTTAGACTCTTAAGATTGTCCATAATTCAAGTTTATCAACAAGAAGAATATCATCAGCAAAAGACATACACTAGAGGGCACCTCCTGCAAATGTCTAGTTAGAAAATCCATGAATAAAACAAAAAGATATGGCTTAAAGTTAATCCTCGATGTAACCCAACTGAAATAGAAAAATACTTGGTCAAACTACCTTGTGTTTGAACATATGAATATAAGTAACCATATGCATATCCTTAATGACTTGAATATAAGCAATATTAAATCTTTTCTTTTCAGGAACTCTCTCGAGCACTTCTTTTTGAATTTTATCACATGCTTTCACTAAATTAATAAATATCATATGAAGATCCTCGTGACTCTTTATATACTTCTAAGCTTCCATAGTAGACTTACCTGGAGTGAATCCAAATTGATTTTGAGAAACATTAGTATTACGTCGTAACCTATGCTAAATTACTCTCCCATAATTTTAATGTATGATACATTAACTTAATTCCTCTAAGGCCTCTAACTAGATTGTTTTACTACAAAATAACATCATTAAATTACAATTAAAATCAAAGCCCGGATATTCTCAATGGCTCAACCCCTAATGTTGTGAATTATGAAGTATACCTAACAGAGCAAAAATATTTCTATCAGATGAGGTTAACTTTTAATTATCCCCTTAAATAAAATATTCATCCTATAATATTTTCTTGGACGACATAACTCATGTCTTCCAATAAGAATCCTTCGATTAGATTGGGTCGACAACCTCCGCTGACTAATTAGACAAAGGTCCATGATAACCTATGATGACAGAATCATGAAATCTTGATAGAGTTTATCATCATCCCCTCACTAAATGCTTTAAGTTAAACGCGATAAACTTTTTTTATTTAAAACTAAATTGATGATATTATAATCTATACATTTAGCACATAACAACTAGACTTGAAAGTTTTATCTCATTATCGAGAGAGGTAAGTAATCATTGGGGCTTATGCCTATGAGAAATCTAAAATCATGTCATAAGTCTTTACAAAATGAGGGTGAAATATTTGGTATTATCTTACCAACAATAAACTCTACCTTCTAAAAATATGACCTAGAACAAAACTCTCTCAGTAGAGCCGAACGTGAATAATCAGAGCCCACACTCAACATCTTGCTTAAAAGGGTGAACTTCAATGCAGCTGAGCATCTCAGTAGTGGAAATTGAAACCCGTGCTAGCTCATTACAAGTCATATACAGCTATAAGATATACAACTATACTCATTAGCCTAGACCAATACCTATAAATAGGGTTTCTCAAGCTTAATTATTAAAGCATCTCTTTTCCCATTAAAAAAATGAACTCTTTTGTAAGCTTTAATCCCAAAGCTCTTTTTCTATGATTTCTTTAATCTCGGTACAGTCTTCCTCAGGAAGCATTGTTAGGGGAATCTTCTCAAGATGAATTCATTGATATCATCCTAAATTGGTCTAATTGAACTTGAAGTTTCTTGATCTTGAATTCTTACGAACAATTTTGAATCCAACATCAATACAACTTCAATTCATGATTTGGTTTTGATTATTAATTATATTTCTATTAATAATATTTTCTGCATATTTCATTGAATTGATTTCTTTTTAAAACATTAATTTGAGTACGAGTTGTCAAAACAACTACTAGCTATAATATCAGTTTAGCCACAAGAAGAGAAAGAAAGAAGCACCTTACAATGAAGGCAGTTTTGAGCATTGATTTGGAGCTTGTGGCCAAGCTTCTCATCTGGGACATACCTTAGTCAAAATAAAAAGTGGTTAAGAATTTAAACTGGCAGTTATAACCAAAAGACTTATCATACCATCTCGTTTGGCTTTCTGCAATTCAACTATAGTATTAAAAAACTACAGCCTACATAGCCTCCAACTAGATCATATTTGAAGACATAAATGACTTACTCGTACACACGAGCCGGGCAATACCGGGACTCTGGTCCTTCAAATTTTGGCAAGTTTACAAGCTGAGGAACATTCGGGTCCCTCAATCTTAGATGGGCAGGTTGGTCATGTTCATGATTCGTGTTGCTCCTGCGTAATAAATAGTGATTGAGAAAAATAAATAAGACAGCTAAGTAGGAAAAAGAACTTACACAAAGTGTTTAAAATTACAAATATATGCGATTGCCTCAAATTCTTACCGACCACTAACTTGCATTGAATGTTTTTATAAAAGCACACATCATAATCATCCTCTCAACTTTCAGAGGAAACAACACAGCCCATAAGAATCTAAATTAACATTAAAATGACTCCATACTAGCTGAAAAAGTTCCATTATAAAAAAATGAAATACCTGTGTCCTTACCAAATGTCCTTAACATCCTGGGAGGAAAGCAAGTCTTAGTAGAACAAAGACATGCTTAATCAAGATCATAAGTTATTCATTACTCTCCATACTGAAGCAAATGTTCCTCCGAATCTTTATCAGGCTAATGAGTTTGACGATGATAAAGATTCTTCTGTTGTTCTCCATACCATATCATTAGTTGCTACTATACTTCTCCATTAGTTGGCTCATACAAAACTATGTCTATAGAAAATAAAAATGAAATTGAAACTTCAATAGTAATGTTATTTTTCTAAGCTCATGTTCAATTATCCTTGCCCATAATTTTAGTCTGTAAATTGTAACCTTGACTAATATTAAGTATCACAGTTTTGACCATATCCTTTCAACAAAATAAAGGAAAGCCACTAAATATTTTCACTAATCATTTGATATCCTCTGTCCCTAAGATTTCATCACTAAGATTTGTTAACCAAAATGCTCCAATGAATCCAACAGTTCTCCAAATCTCAATGCGCAACACGTCTAAATCTAAAGCATTACCTTCATGTTTTCATAAAAGCAATATTTTTTAAGCACAAAGCAAAATGATTTAGGACTTAAATGCTTAGGTAATATTAAATAAGAAATTGCACGCTTTTGGATGATAGCAATATTAAATATTAAACTTGTAGCGATTTAAACAATGAAAGAAAACGAGAGAGTGGTGAAACTAGCTTAGGCCAAGTCACACAACTAGAAGTTAAGATAACAAAATAATCAATTATTCAAGCATAACATATACAAGGATTTTCAACGAGAAATCCCTAAATTAACAATGAGATTAAGTACCATGTGAGTCAACTCGCTGACTCTCTAGATTACTAGGCTTAGCGGAGAGAGTTAACACAATCCTTATGAATCAATTGTGACCACAATTGAGGGCAATTAAGAAGATATAAAATTTGGAGGAAGAGTTCACCTTCGTCGGGGTTTAGAAATAATATGTCACTGTACGGAGGAGAGTTGGTCGTCTATGGCTTCAGCGAGAGTGAAGACGAACCTCTCTACATATTCCTCTACAGTTTGGTCAATCTCCAGGTTGAGGTCGAAGAACGGTGAGTTGAGGATATCGACGTGACCTTAATCGTCGTAAACAAACCCGTGATCTTGTTCAAGATCCGCCATGTAATGGAGAAGAATAGTTGAACATGCAACTTCGGATTTTGGGAAAGTGTGGTAGGGAGGATGTCGTTTCGTGAATCTAAAATTAAGTTTCAGAAAATTGAAAATCTGAAATTAATCCAGAGTAGGAATTGAGAGGAAATTATCTTGTAAGAGCAAAGATGAAGGGAAGAGAGAAAGAGAGGGGTCGGCGGGTAATGGAGAAGGGGAGGGGAAGTTTCCAAAATCTGACAAGTAATTTCAGATTTTATTAGGATGGATTTTGGGGTTTTGCAATTTGAATTTCAAATAAGAGGAGGGAAAAGAAAGACACTCCTTGATGAGAGAATTGATTGAGGCTTAAGAAGGAAGGTATTTAATGAAGAAGAGAGAGAAAGGGGGAAGGAGACGGTGACATGTCTAGGGGGAGTGGGGCTTTGGGAAATAGAATTAATGCTTGCCTTATTAAGAATCTCCAATAAGATATGATTGAATTAAATCAAATTCAATTTGAAATTTAATTGAACTTAATTTAAGTAACTTTCCAAAAATAGATCATCATATATTAGGAAAAACTTTCAAATTCAAATTGATTGAAAATTGAAATCAATAGCTTTCCTAATTTAAGATGTTTAATAAATGGAAAGTGTTAACTAGGGAATTGAATTTTGGAGGCAAAGGGAGGAAGGTGAGGCCAGCGGCTAGGTTAGGATTAGGGTTGGGGTTTGGGCTTGGGCCAGCGATGTGGAAGGGGAGGGGTCTTGGGCCGATGGTTTGGAGGCGGGAGGGGTCTTGGGCCGACGATTTGGAGGTGTGAGGGGCTGTTCGGTCGGAGTTGTGGGGGTGGTGGTGTTCGGCCAAGAGAGAGGGAGAAGGGGAGGGGTGGCCGGCTTAGGATTAATGGAGGTGAGGGGTTTTCGGCCAAGAGAGGGGAAGGGGAAGTGATGGCCGGCGGTTTGTGAGAGGGGGGGTGGGGGGTAGAAGTAGGGGAAATCAACCACAAACTCAAATGCTTCCTGCGGTTGGTGGGTGTTGCGATGCCCTCACCTAGGGACTTCAATCTCTCCAAGACTCTCAAGCTCTTCTAAAACACAAAGTGCATAAATTGCTTATAATAACATTCCTTAACCTGAAAAAGAGAAGGAAATGGCTTTTAAATAGCCTCATATAATGAAAGAGAATAAAAGACCAACATGCCCCTATGGCTTACACATGACTAGGCCCTCAAGTGAGGGTATAAATGGAAAATGCAATAATAACAAAAATAACTAATTATAATAAAAAAATAAAATGGTGTGATCGTGGCCATAAATCGTTGGCCACGCTTCTAGTAGACTCTCCAAGGTCGAATGTCCTCATCACACAATGTAATGTGCAAGTGTTCTTTTTTTCTTCAATGCACAAAGCCCAATATAAAGTTACGCTTTTATTAACAAAAATGGTCATAGCATGTCTATCATGTATACATTTACCATGCACATACAATAGCCAATTAACTAAATAAGCTTAAATAATAAGGTTCAACAAATATAATGATACATCTAATAATAATTGCAAAATATGAATTATATGATATATGACTTAAAAATTGATAAGAAATTAAATACAAATATGATAAAAAGACCTAATTTGAAGATGGACTTCAAACTTGAACATCCAAATTATAATTTCTAACAATTTTTATTATGCACAATAAACAAAAAATAGTGAGAAAAAGACAATAGTGTCAAGATCAAGTGTTGAAGCTAAATTAAAGCCATGACTCAATGTATCTATGAAAGTGATGTAGGCAAGGGGGGGGGGGGGGGAAACATTTTGAATTATAAATTTGGAGAGCTTATAGGTCTTCTAATAGAATCAGCTCATTAATTTCTAGTAGAGAGCCTTTTTAGCTCATAAATTGAGGTTCATTCCCCCCATTTGCTGCC